TAAAACGGGTTCAGAGAAGACGTAAAGGAGAAATTGAATTGGCCGTGGCGTGCCGACTCAGCTGATTGCGTGCCAGCCATCATGTACGCATGTATGTACCATGTGTACAGATGTGTGTACACATGGTACATACATGCGTACCATGTGTACACACGTGTGCACGGTTGTGTCTGGCAAAAACAACCCCCTACCTCCTCGTTGGTGCCGGACGGCAACGCTGTGGTGGGCAGTGCCGTGGAGGGAGGGCCTATTTAGATTGGCCTTTCCCCTCATGGCGTATGTAACCACCACAGCAGCCAAATGGGGGCTCTGGACAGGTGCGAGGGGCTGGTAACCCCATCCACCTTCAATTAATTACCACAAAACCACGACTGAAAAATGTAATTAATAAGCTTGTGCCGGAGGCCCCCGGGGGGAGAGGCATCTTGACATCTCCTAGCCAAACCCCATTTGGCAGAGCAAGGAGACTGAATCCTTACCCTCGGGGCTCCTCCAGAAACAACAAAAAAACACTAGGGGTGGCCACGTGGAATGTTCGAATGCTCACTGCGGAGGAGAGGCTGCCACTCCTCTGTCGGGAGATGGACCGGTACCGTCTGGAACTCTGTGGTATTCAGGAGGTCCAGTGGATCGGTTCTGGCTCCTGCCACTATGAGGAGTGGACAGTCTTCTACTCGTGGCAGGAGACTGCCAAACAACAGGGAGTGGCTTCTTCTGATCAAAAGAATGAAGGGGGCGTGGGAGCATGGCGGTGAGGTGTGGGAAGCTGTAAGCTCCAGGCTACTTTGGGCTCGCCTTCCCATCAACCAGAGGCGAGGAGTGGTGGTCGTGGTTACTTATGCCCCCACCGAAGACGAACATCCGTGAAGGGATGCAGGCAAGGCCGATGAGTCAGATGCCTTCTATGACCTCCTGTCACAGGTGCTAGCTAAAGTGGCCCCTCGGGATAAAGTCATCTTGTTGGGTGACTTCAAGGCCCAAGTTGGTCATGATGCTGGCACCTGGTCTGGAGTGATTGGAAGGCATGGGCCAGATCAGCTCAATAACAACGGCAGGAGGCTGCTAGATTTTTGTGCAGCCTATGGGCTTGTAATTACCAACACACTGTTCCGGCATCGGCGCATCCACACATCATGGATGCATGCCGGGTCTAAGCAAGGACATCTGCGGACTACATAGTGATGGAACAGTGGATGCGGGCCCATGTCCTTGACATCAGGACCTACCGTGGAGCTGATCTGCTCACTGACCATCGACTGGTCATCTGTAAGATGCGCCTGCCATTTTTCCACTCCAGTGGTGGGTGTACACCCAGGATCCCATTCAAACCCATAGTGGCATGGTCTCAGCTAGCTGATGAAAGTTGCAAGCGAGAATTTCATCATCGCTTGCGGCTGGGGTTGGCATCGTCCACCACTCCTGCTGATGTCGAGGGGAAATGGGCGAGGTTTAGGACTGCGGCTCATGCGGCTGCTTTAGGTACACGGTCCAGACCTCCCCAGAGACCCTTGGCTGATAGAGGTGTCCAGGCTGGCTGAGAAAAAGCGACAGGCCCACTCTCATCGGCTACAGCATCCCACGTTGGAGAATGAGGAGGCTTACCGCAGCCTTCGCTCAGAGGTTCAGAGAGCCGTGAGGCGCTGCAAGGATGGGTGGTGGTCGCGGGTTGCTGAGGAGATGGAGTCTGCCTCAATGGCCCGCGATCACAAATCACTCTTTAACTCCATCAAAAAAGTAACCTGCAGCGCCATACCTATTACCATCATTAAGGGAAACAACAGTGATCCAATATCCGACCCCCCAGGAACTGGTTTGCAGATTTGCTGAGCATTTCTGTGAGGCATTTCTGTGAGGTCCTGGGGGAGGGGAAATCCCTCAGCCTGGAAAACGTGGGACAAAGTGGGGATGACTCTGCTGAGGCTGCAGTGCCTCAAATATTGGAAGAAGTCATCCACTGGGAGTGGCTGACTGAAGTGCCATCTGTTGAGGAAGTACTGAAAGCAATCCGGTGTCTGAGATCAGGAAAGGCACCGGGCAGAGATGATCTCTAAAGTGAAATGCTGAGGGAGGGTGGCGTTTGTGCACAGACAGCCCTACATGACATCATAACAACAGTCTGGACCACTGGACGGGTTCCGCAGGATTGGAAGGATGCCCTGGTGGTCCCCCTCTTTAAGAAGGGGGACCGCACAGACTGTAACAACTACAGGGGCATCTCACTCCTCAGTGTGCCGGGAAAGGTCCTGGAAAGGATTATTCAACGTCGCCTTGCTAGGCACACTGAGAGGCTTGCGGAGCCCCAATGCGGTTTCATGAAAGGGCGGTCCTGCACAGATGCCATATTTTCTGTCCGTCTGCTACAGCAGAGGTGTAGGGAATTCCAACAAGACCTACATCTCTGCTTTATTGACCTGGTCAAGGCCTATGATACCATCAGTAGGCCTAGGCCTGGGTTGTTCTTCGTGCTTTCGGAGTCCCTGACCCTCTGATCATGATCATTAAGGACCTTAATGATGGTGAGCGGGCCTGGGTAAAACTACGTGGCGAGGAGTCGGAGCCATTCCCTGTACACCTTGGGGTTCGTGAAGCCTTCAATAACTGTACCGGAGGAATTTACATCTGGTAAAGATACAATGGGAGGCTGATCGATGCCTGGGTGCAGTCAAGGGATGGCTCTCTATTGCTCAACCATGTTATGTATGCGATGATCTGGTAATTGCTGCTCACTCAGAGGAGGAGTTCGAGGCACTGCTGCTGAACCTGGAGCTTGCCACTAAGAAGTAGGGCCTTACCATCAGCCCCACCAAAACTAAGCTCCTGCCTGGGTATTTTGTACCATCGGACACTCCACCCCCACAACTCCCAATTGGTGATGGGGCAGTTGTGGAGAGAGTGAAGAGTTTCCCATACCTGGGCAGTGTGCTCATGACCGGCTCCGGTTTGACAGCAGAGGTCTCACTACGAATCAATCGAGCGGCATTATTTTTTCATCGGTTGCGTAACGCTGTGTGGAAGCTACCTGGTCTGTCGCTCCACACGAAGCTTCAGGTCTTCTCGGTCACAGTCATTCCCTCCCTTCTCAACGCTTGCGAAACGTGAACCTGCGTCTGCCCCGTGACCTCGTGCCAGCGGGCGTTGGACACTTCACGGCGGTTGTTGTTGTTGTATACGCCGCGTGTAAACGTCGTGCTGGGTCACGCCGATGTTAGACGGGCGAACACAGGGACCGCGGCCAAGATAAATAATTAAAGAGGACGGCTGTAATGGAGACAGAAAAAGGGAGAAGACCCGAGGATTGGAGGAAACCCAAAGGAGATGTGTTCAGCGGGAAATAAGGAGTGGAGAGAGACTGGTGGAAGGTTCCAGAAGTGGGGGAGAGAGAGGAGAGATAGAGGGGTCTGGGTCAGGAGCACGGGGCTCCGGGATAAGAAAAGTGGCTGAAGGAGTTTCCTTCGAGTGTGGGTCATTGAGTGCCCATTATTGCGTCACTGACTGCGGGTTACCGAGGGTGCATTACTGGAACTGTTACCTGCACGACTTGTGTGGACTCCCTTTCGCATGTACTGCCATTCACCGTAACTCTACATCATTGGCCCACTATCTTACAAATCGTTATTCCTTCGATCATACGCATATGCTTTACGTGGGCGTATGGTACGTGCTTGCCTGCGTGTGTGTGTATGTAGATACCCTGTCTTTATATGTACACGTGACCTGGCATTGCTAATATCCTTACGGCCGAGTCGTAATTATTTTGGGCACCGGTTCAATTTTGGCAACTTGGGGCCACAGCACCAACGTACACCGAGCCCCCATGCTATTGCCAGTGATGTCCCAGAGTTTGTGGTAATGCCTATTAAAAAAAAATACACTTATCTCTAACCTGTAAGAGGCATATCGTCATTATTATTAAATAAATATGAGTTAATAAATAATTTGTAAAATATATTTCTTTAGAAAAAAATAAAACAAAAACATTAATATTAAAATATAGATTCAATATTAAAATTATACAAAGCAAATAAATTACATATTTTTGTGTTACAAAAATTAAACTTTAAAAAATATACAGTCCAGTATATCTGGTGTATATATATATATATACCAGGGGTGTTATGTGTATTCTGAGCCACGGAATGTTTCAGCTATTTCTGTTAATATCAACATTCTGCAGGCAGGCGTAACGGGAAGGGTTAGCACTATAAACGCGTGTCACAAAACCCTCAAGGGGCGTGGGAAACGCGTCCTTGAAATTCCTAACATCATGAAATGCAACCCAGAATCCGTGACAGTGATGGACAACCCAGAATCTGTGACAGCGATGGGCGACCCAGAATCTGTGACAGTGATGGGCGACCCAGAATCTGTGACAGTGATGGACAACCCAGAATCTGTGACAGCGATGGACAACCCAGAATCTGTGACAGTGATGGACAACCCAGAATCTGTGACAGTGATGGACAACCCAGAATCTGTGACAGTGATGGGCGACCCAGAATCTGTGACAGTGATGGGCGACCCAGAATCTGTGACAGTGATGGGTGACCCAGAATCTGTGACAGCGATGGGCGACCCAGAATCTGTGACAGTGATGGGCGACCCAGAATCTGTGACAGTGATGGGCGACCCAGAATCTGTGACAGTGATGGGCGACCCAGAATCTGTGACAGTGATGGGTGACCCAGAATCTGTGACAGTGATGGGCGACCCAGAATCTGTGACAGTGATGGGTGACCCAGAATCTGTGACAGCGATGGGCGACCCAGAATCTGTGACAGTGATGGGCGACCCAGAATCTGTGACAGTGATGGGCGACCCAGAATCTGTGACAGTGATGGGCGACCCAGAATCTGTGACAGTGATGGGTGACCCAGAATCTGTGACAGTGATGGCGACCCAGAATCTGTGACAGTGATGGGCAACCCCAGAATCTGTGACAGTGATGGGCGACCCAGAATCTGTGACAGTGATGGGCGACCCAGAATCTGTGACAGTGATGGGCGACCCAGAATCTGTGACAGTGATGGGCGACCCAGAATCTGTGACAGTGATGGGCGACCCAGAATCTGTGACAGTGATGGGCGACCCAGAATCTGTGACAGTGATGGGCAACCCAGAATCTGTGACAGTGATGGGCGACCCAGAATCTGTGACAGCGATGGACGACCCAGAATCTGTGACAGCGATGGACGACCCAGAATCTGTGACAGCGATGGACGACCCAGAATCTGTGACAGCGATGGGCGACCCAGAATCTGTGACAGCGTTGGGCGACCCAGAATCTGTGACAGCGATGGGCGACCCAGAATCTGTGACAGCGATGGGCGACCCAGAATCTGTGACAGCGATGGGCGACCCAAAATCTGACAGTGGTCCACGTGAGCGGCCCCTCCTTCACCTCAGAGGGCCGCAAGCTTGACATCGTGCTTGTGCACTAATCATGACCCCACGCACAGCCCGAGAGACACACTGAGATCAGGCCACCGTGAGCAGCTCCTCAGGATGCAGGTTGCCCACCACTGATCTACGAGCTGGTAGAGGCCACGCAACTCACTAATGCATTGCAATGCATTGTGGGTATTATGTTAAAAAACGATGAGACGTTGCTCTTCTGCATCACGGAATAATGATGTTAGATTTTAGTCCATCGGCCTATCGGGGTTCATGTACCAGGGTTTTCCAGCAGTATTTGTCTATGCAGGCAAACTCTGGACAGGCTTCCAGCAGAGTTAGGCCTGTTGCTGCTCGTTTTCCCGACTCTACTAATTACACTTAATCCGCAAGAGCTGTAATATAGACCGCACTAAGTAAAAAAACCCAATCCAACAATGGGTTTGTTTGGGCAGTCACTGGTGACCGGGTTGAGACGTGAAAACCTGGTTTGATTATAGGTCGGCTAAAACTCACGGTGGAACCCAAGATCTCAGCAGTGCCAGACGCTGCTCCGACGCCGTTATCAACCCCCTGGGCCAACTGGCTACTTCTCCGTGGGGGTTGCCACCTCTCCCAGTTTACCAGAATCGTCCTCTCAGATAGCTATCCTGGGAAATCTATCAAGCCTTCCCAGGGCATTAAAACCCTCCTTTTTTGCCAGCTGCATAATAATACACTACCCAAGATGATGCGTCTACTGGTGGATCACCCCACATCTGGTATCGTGAGATATTCCTCCTCTCGCGGTATGTCCCAGTCGTTTGGTACCTTGAGGAGGTGGCAACCCCTACTTCGCCGGGCTGCCGTGAAGTTCGGCACCCCTGGTTTACACGTACGTATGTACACGGATGTTGAACTCCTTTCGCACCGTGCAGAGCCAACCGTGCTAATCGGAGGCACACGGCGCGATCCCGGCAGGGCTGACGTGCCGGCGTTCGGCTCAGGGCAGCGCGCGCTGCGCCGGCGAGGAGACCACCGCGTTCCTCTCGGCCGCCAGCTCGCGCTCGTACAGCAGCAGCTGCCCCATGAAGCTGAGGTTGGGCGCGACGGCGGCGCGCCGGGCGCGCACGAAGGCGTAGGCGTCCGACGCGCCCAGCCCGCGGAGGCGCATCACGTAGGCGATGGCGACGGTCGGTGAGCGCGACACGCCCGCCTGGCAGTGCAGCAGCACGCTGCAGCCGCAGCGGCGCGCCTCCTCTGCCGGGGGGGGGTGGGGGGGAGGAGGAGACGAGCGGCGTGAGGAGACGACAACGGCGGCGGCGAATGGATGGGAGAGCGTGGAAGTGAAAGCAGGCGATGTGGAAAGGGAGAATGGAACGAGAAGACGAAGTAGGAGGAGGTGATTGGAGAAGAACAGGGGATATAGGTTACGAGAAGAGGAATAACTGTATCGGAATAAGAACAAGAACACCGCAGGAGGAACGGGGAAAAGGGAGAAGAGAAGGAAAATGAGACCTTGGAGGAAACTGGTGGAGGGATAGGAGAGCAGGAAATGATGAATCGGAGAAAAAAGGTAAATAGAGAAGATCCAGAGAAGAGTTGGAGCAAATTAATGAGAAAAATAGAAAAGAAAACAAAGCAGCTGAAGATAAACAGACGACTAAGAATATAAGAAGCAAATCAGCAAAGAACAACAGAAGAATAGCAATGAGATGGCATAAGTACAGAAGAATAAAGTAAACAATTTTTTTTATTTTACCAGGTAAGGCCCACTGAGCTATATACTGTTGCTCTTTTTCAGAAGCGACCTGGCCACAAATGGTAGCCCAACAAAGTGGCTTATTGTGTGGAAATCCATAGCAGCCAACATAAGAACAAATGGGGAATTGTAGCGGGAGCAACGGAGAGAGCAAGAGAATAATAAAACAGAACGAACCGGACAGGAGCTAATGGAAAAGCCAACAGGCCGGAGAACGCGAGAAGAGGCAAAAAAACCGCGACTCCCCCTCACAGCGCGACCGCTCACGCCTCCCCTCTCACCTATGAGCAAGAAGGCCGGACGGAAGTATTGGCGAAGGTCCTGGCCGTGCGTGTCGCTCGCCGGCAGGCGGCGGTACGCGATGCCGCCGGCGCCCGCGTGGTAGTGCGGCACGTGCGCCGTCACGTTGAGCACCAGCCCCACGTTGAGGCGGCGCAAGGTCGGGAGGTCGCGCGCCGCCCGCTCCCCACCCACGAACAGGTACGGCAGGAGCCGGGACGCGTCGCTGCTCTCCTGCGAAACTTCGCCGCCGACGGCTCCAGCCGCCGCCAAAAACCCCTGGCTCCGTGCGGTCGTGGCGGTGGAGGAGGTGGCGCCGCTACGCTCGTCCGGCGATGCGGATGATCGCAGGAGTGCGCCGGCTCGACCGTTGACGTGCGCGTCAAATGGCGACGTCGCCTCGGAGACATCTTCCACCCCGTGGTGTTCGCAGAGTGACTCGTGCAGCGCCCGAAAGTCGCTCAGCCCGCCTTGATTGTCAGTGGCAGAAACGGGGGAGGGCAGGGTGGGGGTAGAATGACAGAGAACATCAGGGTGGCGATGATGGTGGTGACGATGAGTGGTTGATGGAAAGAAGTAAAACTAGACCGCCAAGATCTCCAGTGTGTTTTCGGGTTGTGCTGCGTTGTGCTGCGTTGTTGTTCGACGTGCTGGCAGCTTCTTCAGCAACTAAATTTCGAGTTCATGAAGCAACATGTCGGACATCACGGCGAGCGGCATGCTGTAAGGCCAGTGAAAATTACGAAAAGGATAGAGCAGCAAGTGACTGGACAATAGTGTGTGGTGGAACGGCCTTGTAATCCAGCGCTTTGGAGACAACAGGTGCCGAATCACATAGATTTGAATAACTCCTATACCCAATGGATGTGAGGTGACAAAGATACGGCAGTACAGAAAGTAGGTTCAATAATACATTTTCAGAGAAATGCGTGTTATCCCCTTGTACGTGTGGGATTTCTCCATGTAACTCAGTGAACACAATATATTATTGTGGACACATGGATTCTGTGATGCATTTGAACACGAGTTTGTCGTCAGAAGTGGTGACTGTGCTGACGATCTCAGCCCGGTCACAAATGAGACCCCCCCAGTTTAACCGCAGACGCCTGTCTGGATTCGAACCCAACTCCTCAGCCATGCCAGATCAGCGTTGTGAGCCCTGAACCATCCGGCCAACTCAGGATTCGAACATGACATCCTCAAAGTGCGAGCCAATAGCTCGCCCTACCAATGATGTCACTCGTTCGGTGATTAACTATTTAAATTATTTGTAATAGACCAGCTAAGGCCCACTGAGCTATGTAGCTCTTTTTCATAAACAACCTGACCATGAATGATAGCTTAACGAAGTGGAAATTGATTGCAGCCAAATACTGTGCTCTCAATGCATGTTTCTAAATGTGGGGGGAAAAACCGGACAACCCAAAGAAAAATCCACGCGACCGAGGGAAGAACACGTAAACTCCAAATATACAGCAGGTAATAGGGTTTTTCCCCTTTTTTCTAGCAACAAAACTAAAACCTTTTTACAAGGATTCATGGCTGCATTAACCACAATACTTGCAGTCAAAATGCAAACAAAAAAACACACCAAGGGACGGCTTTCTTTAAGGCTTTCTTTAAGAAAGCCATCCCTTAGTGTGGACCAATCAGTTTCAAGGACAATGCATATATTATCATAGTGTGTTTTTTGTTTGCATTTTGATTGCAAGTATTGTGGTTAATGCAGACATGAATCCTTGTAAAAAGGTTTCAGTTTTGTTGCCAGAAAATAGGGGGAAAACCCTATTTTATATTTTGGTACTGGCAAAGGAGGTCTAATGATATACAGCAGGTGTCAGGGTCGGGATCGAACCCACGACCTCCTGTATACCAGGCGAGGTATTTAACAACTCGCCACCATCGATCATCGACTGACGGATGATCAGGGGGAGCAAACGCCCTCCGTTGCAACCCTCGTCCATCGATCGATGCTGCGCGTACCTCTAAGCACAAGCGGGTCGGCCCCCTCCCTGCGCAGGCTCTCCAGCACCAGCTTGAGTGCCGCTGCAGGGTCTCCCGAGCTGCCGTCGTAGAGCACCATGTCCCGGCGGGGCGGCCCTGCCGCCGCCACCGCCGCCGCCGCCGCCGCCGCCGCCGCCGGCGCCGACGTCGACGAGGCCTGCGCCAATCCTCCCGCCGCGTCCCCCGTGGCGCCAGCCGGACCGTCCGTCGTCGCCGCGGCAGCGGGACACACGAGCTGGGTGACGCGCAGCTTGCCCTGCGCCAGGCGCCGGCGGGAGAGGCGGTCGGAGCAGTTGACGTGCAGCGCGCCGCGGATGTGCGAGCGCGTGTACTCGCCGAACGGGCGGCAGTCGAGCAGCATGGGAGGCGGGGGCTCGGAGCAGCGCAGGCGCTCTGCAAGCTCGTGCGGCCAGATCGGGACGTAGTCGCACGCCGCGCCGCCGCCACTCGTAGCGATGCCACCTCCACCACCGGCACCAGTAGCTGTAGCGGCAGCAGCTGCGACACCGGCCGGGCCGCCACCTCTCTCCTCCCTTGTCTTCTCGGCGTTGGCTGCTGCTGCTGCGGCTGCTGCTGCTGCCGGTGCTTTTGACGACTTGGACGATTTGGCCAATTTCGATTTGGCCGACTTGGAGGATTTTGACGTCGCTCCAGACACTGCTACAGTGGAGCTGGTGTTGGGAGGCAAGCGAGTGTCGCTGCTGGGCATGGCGCTCGTCAGTCGGGTGCTGGCCGGGTGTGGAGGCGGCGGCGACGGCGGCGACGGCGTAAGGTACACTGGCCAGCAGGGGTGCAAAAGCTCGGGTGGCTGTGCTGGGTGGTGGGGCTGTGCGGGGTGGTGGGGCTGTGCGGGAGGAGTGGGCATGGACTTGCGGAGGAGCAGCGCAGGAGGCATGTGAGGACGTCGGTGGAGCCTAGGACACACAAAGATCCATCCGTGTAACCTCCACAGACTGTTGGGTTAAGTGCTGTAAGCAAGCTCCTATTAAGGCCGGAATGGCACACAAGGTGAGTGGTTTGGTCAACACCATGCCTGGACTGCATTTGTCTACCCTGTTCTGATGTTTACACACCGCACCAGGTGCTTATTCAAGGCCGAGTTGACCTATGGGAGGCCCAGGACTGGCTCACTTATTCGCCACTTATGTTTGCCATGGCCAGAAATCAAACTCGGGTCGCTGGGTTCGTAGCGCAGTGCACCAACCACATGAATATTCATGCACGTTCGTGGCACGTAACCAACCAGTCACAACATTTGTGGAATCATTTTTGTTCATCACAATTGATAAATATTATAGAAATTTGAAGGCACTTGGTGCTAAATTGATCTTATATATTTCCTAACCACTCCCTGGTTTTGTGTTGCACGCGGTGACACAAACGCAATAAACAACAAAGGATAGCTCACAAGTGCGCCTGCTGTCACAAACCTTAAAGCACGGGGCACACACAATAACGCCGTCATTCACCGAGGGCATCGTGGATATTCGCCATTGTGAAGTTACTCTCGAAGCGTCCCACCGGCTCGCTCGCCGAGCTCGACGCGAGCGCGTAGAGTTTAACGTCCCCGACAACACCCGCTTGTCATAAGGCGACACAATCAGACGTGCGTCAGCGTGAGTTCGCCGCGTCCTGAATTATCGACGTGAAATTGCGGCAGCCATTAAATTGAGGAAGTCGCCCTCCAAAATGTTTGTTGCCATATTACTCACGTCAACTTGACCATAGTTTCCCCTACTAAGAGTGACAAGTGCACAGAGTGGAACAACGTGGAAGTCCAGAATAAACACCACATCTGAGAGTCAAACATTGCACGTCCTGGCTCTGACATTCCTCCTTGAAGACGCTGGTTGTAATCATCAACCGCATCGGAACATCAACAGGCTGATGTGCATCTCGACTTCAGAAATGTTAAATTACAGACGTGCCACAGTAGCGCGATTGTGGCCATGCAGCCCAAACTATGGACCACACAGTAAACCCATTGTGGCCTGCGCTTCTTCAATGGAGGACCAACAGCAAAACGACAACTCTCTCTCTCCTGAAACCCTCTCATCGTGGCCAGAAGCAGACCCTCAACACCTGGTATACAGGAGGTCGTGGGTTCGATCCCAACCCTGGTGCTTGTATATTTGGAGTTTGCATGTTCTCCCCATGGTCACATGGATTTTTCTTCAGGTCCTCCAGTTTTCCCCTCCATATTTAGAAACATGCGTGTAGAGTATTCCGCCGCTATAAATTTCCACATAAGCCACTTCGTTGAGCTATCATTTGTGGCCAGGTCACTTCTGAGAAAGAGAGCCTTAAGTGGTGAAATAACAAAAAAATATTCAATAGTTCAACAGAAGCTGATAATGAACCCAAAGCGATCGACGAGGAAAGGTGCAGACGAACTCGGTGAATCCACAAGCCGGAGACTCTTCCCACGAATGATCAAGAGTTAGCCGTGTTGTACAATTTGTATTTTAGGTTTCACAGCACACACAGCACTCACAGCACACATACACAGATGTAATTCCATGAGCAAATGATATGCAATTTCAAATAATACATTACAGTAATTATATTTCACAAAAATGTTACGTGTTTTCTATTTTAATGCGAGTACCGCATACGTCTATGCAAGATGTTTTAGTTCGTATTATTATTATTCACGTGTGTATATTTTCAGCGGTGAGCTCAACACGTGATGTAGACATAGATTTTTCATACACCACTGACGGTGACATAATCATGTCGACACACGTACGTCAACGTAACACAACAAGTGTTCCCCATTTCTCTACCAAATGAGGAAACACAATACGACACAGTTGGCTTTTTATTTACAGAAACAAGAAACTTTAGTACTGTTCATAAAAAAACACGAATAAAGCACTGAGCCAAAACCAGTGATATCCTTGATTCAGATCCGAGTTTCAGCCACTTGCGATCAAACTGTGCTCTCACACGCAGAGTTCAAGGACTCGGCCCAGTCGTCACCAGCCAGGATCATTATTAATTGAAAAACTCATTTCTTTAGAACTGCTTTTTGTGTTTAGTTTGTTGTCCTTCCCGCTCACCTCCAATTCGCACGGTTGGCTACGTACGGTGCGAAGGAAGTTCAACGTACATGCATTCAATTATTCCACTTCTGGGTGAAGGACTCCCCAAGGCTGTCAGCAACCTCTCACGAATCTACGTTGCAACCGATGCCCCTAGCTGCCGCTCCGTCATTATTCTAGTGACGTGTTCTGCCTAGGCCCATTAACTTTTCTTCACAGTTTGAATTAACAATTCTTTATCCTGCCATTGTTTTCTTATCCGTGTTGCTCCCCTTTCTGTCACTCATAATTCCGAACATACATCTCTCCTTCACGCTTCTTGGCAAACGTTTCCGTTTGTTACATTTTCATCATTTATGACCTACGTTTCTGGGTTTTTTTTCACTTCAATAAAACGTCACCTCTGGGAGAAGAATAAATACATAATTCTAGATTTGAAGCTTTCGTGACTGCAAGGATTCATATTCTTAGGTTTTTTTCGGTAAAGTCACGTAGGTAAAAAAAAAAAATCTAAATTAAAATTAATAAAGGTAAAATAAAAATAAAATATTTTACTTTTATTAATTTTAATTTAGATTTTTTTACCTACGTGACTTTACCAAAAAAACCTAAAAATAAATACATATTTTGACTGCTTTGCGACAGGCAGCTGTAGGATGCGGAAGACAGTGCAGTACCACTAGCATGAGTGTGCGGACACGTAAAAGGGATCTCAGGAGTAGTTACGTGATATCACCTTCTGCGGGCTATTTCATAAATCTGTGGATGACTGTTCTGGGAAAGTTCTGAATTGAGTCTCTCACGACATGACGCCGTTAGCGCGTTTGGCAATCAATCTCTTGTGAAAAAGACCAAAAATTACGTGTTTTTAACACACAATTACATTCCCGAATAGATAAGCTTTGAAAATACTTATTTAGCTGCTGCTTTGCTCAGAGCGCTTGAAGATTGCGAGTTAAAATCTTTGCTTGGTCATCGGCTCAGTTCTATATTCATGGAAAGACCATCAACCTCCACCGCAGTGATGTCCTAAACCCCATCAACCCGATTATCACGGTTGGCTACATTCAGTGTGACAGAAGAATGGATACAATGGGTAGTATAATAACAACAAACCACAAACACCATCAGCCCGACACCACAATCCAAAATTCACCACGGAAATATAAATGTCCACCACTAGTTGAGAGTTGGGTATGGATATGACCACTACGACAATGAATGACTGTGCTCTCTTATCTATGGTACTATAATAACCATCACCACAAACAGCATCATCAGCATTACACCACGATACAAACCGCAACATCACCACCACCACCCATCCCCACTTGCATCCCACACAGACACCACCTCCACGACCCCACGACCACAATAACTACAAAAACACTTCAGACACCACTACCACAAGCAATTACAACAACCACAACATATACCATCATCAACCATTACGGATGTCACCACACAAAAACAATGCAGCCCATATACACTACCGCCACCAACCACAATTACAATACACCAACATCAACAGGAAAACACCACCCCAACCACAAACAATATCGGATTTCCACGCCACTCCCAACAAACAACGAAATTTACATCACCACAGTCCCAACCGCATACAATACCAAGATAACATTACCACATTAACGATAACATACAATTCCAACCACGATTTTTAAAGATACCAACACCACCACCATCCCACCATCACCACCGTCAACAACAACACAAAACAACACCAATGGCAAACCCGTTACAACCACAATCAACACCACCCTGAAACCACCACCACTGCCACCTCAACCACAATCACACCACTCACAATATCACCACCACGCTCACAACATCGCTTCCACCCCATTGACACCAACCACCACAATCACAATCCCAACACGCTGCCACCACCACCACCACCACCATCCCACAACCACAACGGCCACCACCATCGACAAAACATCATCTTCAGCCATGACCAATCCACTGCTGGATGAATGCCGGCTAACCCCCCTCCCCAACCGATGGTCATCTGTGCTCTCTCTACCATTGAGACGGGATTAGAGGGAGCAAGACGAACACGTAAACACAGCCACAGCAAGCCGCCCCGAAACTCTCACCACCACCACCAACATCATCATCATCAATCACAGCCACACCACCGATGCCACCACCACCACCACTACCTCGGCACCAGCACCACCAACAGCACCAGCAGCGGAGGAGGAGGAGCAGGCCCCTGGGTAGTCGCAGGGCAAGGCCGCCACAGGGCAGCCCTCCTGGCAGAGAGAGAGAGAGGAGCCCCCCACCCCGTAACCCCCACGATGTTTATTATTAAAAGGCGGCGGTGGCGGTGGCGCTCCGCTGAATCCTTCTTCAGCGCGGCCCGGTGACATCATCGGCAGCCAATGGGAAGGGCGCGTGGAGGCGGCGCGTTACGTAAGAGCAGCCTCCATCCCTCCCTCCCTCCTCCTCCATCCATCCTCATCATCCCGCCTCCATTCTCACCCATCCTCCCTCCCTCCTCCTCCATCATCCCTCCATCCTCATCCCTCCCTCCCTCCTCCTCCATCCATCCTCCTCCATCCATCCTCATCATCCATCCCTGCTCCTCCCTCCTGATCATCCCTCCTCCATCCTCATCCATCATCCATTCTTATCACCCCTCCCTCCTCATCATCCCCCCTCCATTCTCCTCCATCCTCCCTCCTCCTCCATCCATCCATCCTCATCCATCATCCATTCTCATCATCCCTCCTCCATTCTCCTCCATCCCCCCTCCTCCTCCATCCATCCATCCTCATCCATCATCCATTCTCATCATCCCTCCTCCATTCTCCTCCTCCATCCATCCTCCCTCCCTCCCTCTCTCCTCATCCATCATCCTCCCTCCCCCACGCACACGGCTGTCACGCCGGGCATATGTCGCAGCAGCAGCAGCCCCTACTAAGCCACACACAGGCTAATAAACGCACGCGTACACTGTTCACGGATTAAAACTCGCCCCCACATTGTAATACGGTGTTACAACACACACCGCAATACCCGCAGCTGCACACTGCCCAACAATATTGTATAACACACACACCATACAGTACTCTACGATGTATACACTACACACACGATAGCATATACACACCATATCATATACACACCATAAATACAGCATAATATACACGCGAAACAACACAACACAGTATTATACACACCCCACATTTAACACGCACACTACTACAACCCCACACTACACACAGCCAATTCAACACAGCACACACTACCCCATACAATACAGTGCTGTATAACACACACACACACCACATTCAATAAGGCAGACCACACAAACACACACCCCACAGAGATGTGCTGTGACACATGTGTTGGGTGTGTGTGTGTGTAGTGTGACGTCTCCGTGTATATTTATACACACCACATTGTCACACTTTACACTCCCCCCCTCCCACATATGGCACAGCTTAATACAAACACTGCCCACCACATTCAACACACCCCAGCATATGGCAGAACGCGATAAACGCATGTTGAGGTCAATACACACCCACTACACCCGCTCCCATGCAACACTACACACACTACGCACCCAATTCAACACAAACACACACACCTCATTCAAAACACCGCACTCCACACACACAAACCTCATTCAACACAGACTCATATGCACACCCCAACCCCCTTTGAGCCACAGAACATTATATTGCTGTGCTCGTTAATGAATTCTTTAAAATGGTGACATCCTTTCAATCATGATTTAAAGCTTTCGTGACTGCAGGGATTCATATTTTTAGTTCTTTCGGTAAAGTCACGTAGAAAGATTTCACACCTGATGACGATTGCTTGTGTTGCAGTCGAAACGTCGTGAGAATTTTATTGTTTTATATTTTTATTATTCTATTATTTCCCTTCTACGTGACTT